CATAATAAATGTTCCTGTACTCGGATATTGGTACCTTGTTCGTTTGATCAAACTGCTCTTGGCTGCCGGTCTATATACAAAAAGTCTCCAGCCGGAGACATACGGTTAGTAGAGCGGCTAAGGAGAAAAATCGTGCACTTCTGGAAGAAAGCATGAAACTTCCCACAGTGATACCTAAGGATCATTAAAAAAATAGACCCCAAAAAATAAGCCGCTTAGTGGCCGCCATCTTTAAATTAAAAATGGCCGCCAAAATATTGGATTTTTATCAATAATCTTCATATCTGCAGCACCTAGCACTGTCATTTAAAGGTCTTTACCTATGTTATCATGGAGTAGTATGCAGTGATCATAAATTATATCAGATGGCCGCCATATTTGATTTCAAGATGGCTTCCAAAATATTGTTAAATAATTGTAACATAGTCAATCACACCTTTAACCATGTTTTTAATATCATAGAGTATCATACTGTCTCTTATACACATCTTATCTTAACCTTACCATATTATCTGCCGGATCTGCCATGGTATACGAGACTTCAAAAAAACGTTAAGAAACAGGTGTGGTTCCCAGATACGTGGCGTATATCCGTCGCTCAAGAGGTAACACCAGAACTTACTAAAAAGGAACACAGATGTAGTTTAACACGGGTTTCTTTCTACGCTCTGTCACTATGCTATTGTTCGACTAGGTACAAAATTACAATAGACGGCAATGCTCAGACATAAATCTCTTATTGTGATGTACTGGAGCGGAAATTCAATGCAAGTCCAACCGTCAAGTGATTCAGTTAAACTTAGTCCTCTTTATAAGCATTCGTAGTCTAAAAATAGATCAACGGAAAATACACGGCAAGATTAACAACACGTCGTAAATGCAAACATTGAAATTCTTGATTAATTTAAAACTAGATCTAGGATATGGGAATTCGTTACAGATAAATATTAGATCAATAATATTGATCCATAATAATGATTATTGTTGCTTATATATAGGCTTAATATACAATCGTACAGAGGGCGTTTGTGAAAATCACACTGAAACCAATGCATTGCTTTTGTATGATCCGCAGTGGAAACTGGGGCGTCACTACAGAAATCTGTGAAAACTTATTTATCAAGTGGTATGGTATATCAGTGTACAGGATTACTAGATCTTTTTTTTTTTTTCTTTAAGTAGGCCAAATTATAAGATTATTATTTTAAAAAAATATATAGGTTTACTAGGCTAATATGGCGTCATCTCTTCAACAAAGAAATTCTTTATAGATCTAATATACCCCAGGCCCGTAGCCAGGTTCTTCAAAGGGAATGGTGGGGGGGGGGGGGTTC